AACCTCACTTTTATAAGAAAAAAAGATGAGAGATAGTAGTTTTATGGTTATATGGTACAAGGATAATTATGATATTTAAGAAATATTATTAAACGGGTACCCGCGGGTATGGATATCATCATACCCACCCCCGCCCCCTTTATAAACGGGTAAAAAATTATCCGTCCCCATTATCCGCGGGTATCCAATTAACTTATCCATTTATTATCCGTAGCAAATTTTACCCGCAAATACCCGCGGGTGCAGGTATTTTTGCCATCCCTAATCTCTCTCACATACACTCACTCCCCTATCTCCCTCTCCCTCTCTCTCTTTCTCCTTTTATTTCTCTCTCTCTCACTCTCTATCACTCACACTCCTCTTCTCTCTCCCTTTCCCTCTCTTTCTATCTCTCTCACTCTTACTCCCTGTCACTTCCTCTCTCCCTCGCCACCCTCTCTCTCCCTCCTATATCTCTATTTCTCTCTTTCTTTCTTGTATTTCATTATTTCTTGACATTATGAATTTTCATGATATTATTAAAGTTTATTTTGTTTCTATAGTTTAATGATATTTATTGACACTTTTTTATTTTTTTATTTGAATGAAATGAAGTAATATATTTTTATTCTTCTTAATTATTATGTAACATTTTTCTTTGTTTATTTCTTTTGTTGAATGATGTATTTAAATAATTTTAACTATAAATTTTAACCTTTTTAAAATAGTAAGAGTTAATCACCTATACACTGCTAGTGTAAAATTTTTTTTACACTGGAAACCAATTATATCTTTTAATTATGCCATGTCACTATAAACACACTTACTTTTAACAGTGACATGGCACAATTAAAAGATATAATTGATTGTCAATGTAAAAAAAACTTTACACTGACAGTGTATAGGTGATTAACTCATAGTTTAATGTCATATTTGTAATAAGATTTGAGTAACTAAATATATATAATGAGTTTATTTTAATAAAGGATATTTTTGTAAAAAGTATTTATATACCCAAGAATATACTATTGTAACTAAACATGAAAATCTTTAATTCTTGGGTGTCCTGTATGAATATTCTCAAGAACCTTTATGAGTACCCAAATATATTTTAGTTATTTTCAAAAATCATGATTCTCAAGATTTGTAATTCCCAAGAATCATGATTCTCAAGATTTGTAATTCCCAAGAATCATGATTCTTGGGTGTGAAAAAACTTTTCCCACACCAAATGCCCCCTTACAATCATGTTACTATTTCACTATTTCAAAAGTGTTGAGTTTTTTTATTAACAATATTCAGCTCCATCGTAGTGTCTTTCTTTTTTCTACAGTTGGTATTAGAGAACAACCTTTGACAAGGTTGAATGTCTAACCGTGCTATAGAAAAATATCCTAAAATGGAAGTAGTGAGGGTCAATATTTGCCTAAAAGTTTCTCTTACAAGACCACCATCCTTTAATGGAGAAGGCTACCCATATTGGAAGGATAGTATAGAGATGTTAATCAAATCCACTCAATACCATCTATGGAAGATCATCACAGGTAGTGATGTTCCCGTGACAGAGAATGAATATATGTAACAACATCTTACAGCTCAATACAAAAGCAAGGTACATCCTATCTTGCTTTTTGTCTTGAACATAGTACAATAAGTTTTGCAGTTGCAAGACTACTAAAGAGATGTAAGAAGTCAATAGGGTAACTCATGAGGGAATTGAAGATGTAAGGCTCAGTTGAGTTGTTACTCTTCAAAGACACTATGATTTGTTCTCTATGAAGGAGAACAAAACCATTAATGAGATGTATGAAAGCTCCAAGCCATTCTCAATGGGCTAAAATCCTTGAGAACTGAGTTTTCAAAGGCTCAAAACAATATGGAGATCTTGGATCCAAAGGCAATCACCATATTAGAGGCTCATGACCTCAAAACTCTCATGCTGGATGAAATCTTAAGAGCATTAAGATTTCTTGAAGTCCATCTAAACTACATGGATCATTTGAAATTTAATGATTATATTACTCTAAGGATCAGTGAAACCAATAAGAAGAGGAATAAAGACAAAGTTTTGAAGGTTAAGTCTAAGTACAGTAGCTTAGATGAAAGTTTTGAGGACTCAACAAATAATGAGCTATCTCTCATGTCAAAGAAGTCCAAGAATATGTTAAAGAAGAAAGGAAGATTGAGGAACTTTAAAAAAGAAAGATAGATAGGTTTAAAAAACTTATCAAAGAAGAAAGCAAGGAGGTCATATGTCATGAGCGTAAAAGGCTTGGACACATGAAGATTGAATGTCCTACTACATTCAAAAAATGATGGAACAATAAGAAAAAGGCTAAGACAAGCTTAATGGTTGCTTGGGAAGATTTGAACAACAATAGTAATATCAATTCAGACAATGAAAAGGCTAGTATCTGTCTCATGGAAGATGTAGACGAAATAAGGATAGAGGTAGAATCTAACTTTAATTTTTATTTTACTTCTTTTAAAAGTTCTGATGAAAAAAATGTATTATGAAACTCTTTTAAAAAATACTCACATTATCAATGTATTTACTTCTGTATTTAATACTTATTATTGTTTGATCACCCATATCTTGTCTTATGATTTTGATTATTGTTCTTTTAACCTTGAATTAAAGTAAAATACTAAATGAACCTTATTTTAGGATTGGATATGGATAATTATTATCTTTATTAACAATAAGAGACTTGTCTTTAATTAGAATTTGGATTATATAATTCCAATTAATCTTCAAATTAAAATTTTCTTGTATGATTTTTTAATAGATAGATTTGAAATTATAAATAGTTTGAATTTGAATTATTTTATAAATAAAAAACTAAAGAAAAACGTACAAGAATTTTAATCGGTAAGAGGAGACCAAGAAAGAGAACTTGTTAATTATTTGATTTAGAATAAAAAGTCTAATAAAATAAAATACTTTTATATATTTAGAATAAGCAAATAAAATTATTAAATTAAGAATGATTTAATTTAATTAATATCCACTTTAAATTCTCTCAAATTCATGAAAGAAACAAGTCAAAATTTAGTGACAAATAGTAAACTACAATTTTAGTATAGGAAAATATATATCGTAATTAATAGTGTAAATTATATGAGTTTTTAGAACTAAGAAAAATAAAGTTTCTTTAAGTGAAGTTCATCGATCACATTAGCCTATTTTTTTTTTATAAAAAAAATGCTCAAGATGATGATTTTAATATATGTTCAAGATCAAAATGACAATAATAATATATTTGGAGATAACTGTGAAAAATAAATTATTTCAATTATTAGTTATAATCAAAATAAGAAATAATCATAAGTTTCAAACTTTTAAATGCATAAAAATAACTTATTTTTCAGATTTATTTTTACAAATTTCAGTTATTATCCTAAACACTATTTATTTTGAAAGAAACTTTTTTTACTTAAAAAAATTGGAATCTTCATATTTAAGTACTCACAAATATTTTTGACATAACTGTGAAAATTATATCATCTTAATAGTCAATTATTGTTATAATTGATTATAATTATAAAGATTTTTTGTTTAGATAAATTTACTGTAAAGTGATATTAACATATTTAAATTTATTTAAATACAATTAAAAATCAATTTTATATAGTAAATCAGTTATAAGAAAAAACTATTGAAAAATAATCATATGTTTCAAATTTTGCAACGCCGGAAAGCAAATTCTTATTAGATCCTTAATCTCACTATAAATATTCAAATAAGTTGATGGTTAATTTTATAACTTTGTTTTAATATGAACTTTCTTCTACAAAAAAGAATTCTACTGTTTATTAGCATCTTAAACAGGAAAAATAATATTTCCTAAACATGCACTTAAGTGGTTAAATTTAAAGATTTGGATAAAAGAATCGAAAATTTCATATATTAATTTTTTTATTATTTTATAGACTAATATCACAACACTACACGCTTTCATGACCAAAATAATAATTTACTTAATATTTTAACCTTCACACCCTTTTCGTTTCGCCAAAATTAAAATAAAAAATCTCTCTTGTTAGTTGTTACCTTCTTTCTATTCCTCTTCTGCACTTTCTTCAAACACTGTTAATGAACCTCGCATAGTCGAACAAAACAGTGTTGACGGTCATTCAAATAAGTCTTCAACAACTCTAACTTGCATCTGTTTAATTACACAAGTTTTGAAGGGACACTGATGTTTATGGCAAATGCAAACCACAATAGTTGATAATAGATCTTTTGAAGCTCCACTTTAGAAAGAGATATATCATTCTTCTTTCTTCTGGACCCAATTTCTATGAATGAAATTTATTAATGTTTGAAACTAATTTTTCATGTCATTGCCAGTCTTGCTAATCATCCATGGAAATTTCCCTATAATTCTATTTGTTCTATTTGAAAACAGGAAAAATATAATAGCAATAAAAATGATGCCAATGATAATGAAATGATAGTGATCATGACAACAAGCCTATAAGTAACAAATGATGACGAACAATATATGGCGTCAAAGGAAGCTTTCAAACATAATTTTAACAAATTTGAAGAACTCAACCTATAAGTAACAAATGATGACTTCCCTGTAAGACCTATTCAAATACTTCTTATATTTATATAATTGTGTTACTTTTTATTAATACTTTTAATTTAATTTCTTGATCTCATGATTTAAAAGTTACTTTCATTTTCGAGAATTTGACTACATCTGTTTATACGACTGTTTATGTATAGAAAGACAGCCGTAGAAATACCAGCCTCGGATAGTAGGACTGTTTATGGATCAATCGCTCTGTATACATCGAGAAACCTGAAACCCTAAATTTTGTGTTTTCACAGGTTTTTAGCTTTCAGAGAAGTATCATCAAAAAGGTGAATTTGCATTGAAATGTTACATTTTTCGTTGGGATTTGTGATATGACTGATTAGATGCGCTGAAATATTAGCTTTTCTTTCACCAATATACTCTAGATACTAAAATGGCTAACATTTTCTTTTTGTTTGGACAAATCCAAAAACCAAACCAAACCAACCTGTTACAGTTCGGATATGAAGAAATTTTTTACAGATCCAAACCAATTAAAATCAATTAATTTTAATTGGTTTTGGATTTTTTTTTATAGTACCACTTGTCATAAATAGAAACAACTGATTTAACGTTGTATACAACCAGAAACAATTAAAAAAATTAAAGAATTTTAGCTTACACCACAAAACAATTACTTCCCAACCCAATGGAAGAAGCCGTCTAGTAAAGCTTAATTCTGGTGTTGATGGGGCTCCTACAGATGGGACACGACTGAAGATCTTGTCCACACTCGCAACATGTCTGTCATGTTAACATAAACAAAGATGTCATAAGCACTCCCTTATCTGATATTTCCTTGAAAATATGGGAAGTGAAAATTTTGTTTTACCTGATGCCCACATCCGAAGGCCATGTCTTTAGAATTGCTCAAACATATGGGGCAAAGCTGCACAAGACCAACTCAATTTGTTAATTGCATAGTATGACAATCTTAAATAATAAATTCATAACACGACTATTTAAAACCCAGTCGCTATATTGGACATATAAAATGCAAAGCAGGCAACAAGACAATAAAATTATGCAACTACAACCTGGATGGCTGGGCAAAGCAGACAGACATTAGACATGCAAAAAGGTAAAAGAATTAAAAAAACGCAACAGATTTAAGCTCATAATTGATGCCATTCATCCCTCCCCATTAGACCATGTATATGCTTTTTAACATGAGTAATATAATTTCTTGACTAAGGCATGTAAGGATATGCCAAATAAAAATTGCACCTAGATAAGGATTAAAGAAAGAAAGCATATTTTCAAGCAATTCCTTATTATATTCGTATTTGCTCCCAAAAAGACCTGATCAAGAACATAACACATTTCTGTCAGAAGCACTTTGTTCTTTGTAAGGGTTTGTACCTGATTGTCATATGTGGAAGTTGGGGCAGGAGGAGCTGTGCCAACTAGGTCGCTGTTGTCATAATAAGGAGAACTCTGCTCAATGCTAGCAGCATGAGAAGGTTTTGAGGCACCAAAAGATACTGAACCATAAGGTTTTGAGGCACCATAAGATGCTGAATCATAAGGTTTTGAAGTGCTAAATGATGCTGAAGCAAAAGGTTTTGAAGCGCCCATAGATGCTGAACCATATGATGGTGTTGGGAGGGCGACCCTTTGAGGAGCATTGGCATTTCGTCTACTATGTAATAGTAATAAACACAGCAACCAAAATTGTCAGAAATTGAACCAAAGTTTTAATTTTAGAAAAACAAAATAATAATATAAATGGTAAAGAACCAAAAATTTACCCAAGGAGGTTAAGCTCGATAGCTGCTTTATACTGAGAAGGAATTTCCATCAGTGCTGCAAGAGCAAATGCTGCCTCTTTTCGAGAAGGAGGAATGTTCTTTGACATAATTTCTGTGAAATTCACAAACTAAAGTACAAAGAAAACCATAACAAGTCAGTCAATCAATTCTCACAAATTAGAACATTTTAACAGGTATTAATCAACATTATATAAGCCCCACATAACTTACCTGAAAATTATCAAAGGCCCGAGATGGGATATTGTCATCAAACTCCTTCATCATGTCCCAAGGACCATCTCCAACACCAACCAATATGATTGAAAGAGGAAATTTACTGTGACAAAGCAGGTTAATAAGAAAAGATATTTGAACAGATTGAAAACCATTGAATAAAACCTACAAGATAATCACCTGGCCTCAACAATGGCATTCACAGTCTTCTGCTCCTGTGGACTTAGTCTCCCATGTTCAGTGTCAATACTCCTTGTTACCTGCAGCAAACATCAATGCAGGTGGGCTTAGACTTAGCAGTACCATTATAGCAATTGCATTGTAGCAAACATGACATTAAAAACGTGAAATAACAGGAAGAGTAGAGTTTCATGAAAGACAAATATATATTTCCTGTCCCTTTAAAGTCTGATGTTTTGAAGCAAATTAAGTCAATAACAGATCAGTACCAACAAATATCAAAACTTACACTACTGGGTGAAAGCACATCAATAATTTTATATCTAACAATATCAAAGCAAAATGAGGAAGTTAAACAATGCAAAATGCATATCAATTTTAAAAATGTAAAACATCAGTGATCATTTTTTTCTAATCAACATATAAAACCCACTTTAATATTAAATACATGCCTTTCAAAAGCAAAAATAAATAGTGATAAATAGCTTCGTCTAGCTAAACTCTGCATAGTTAATAAGATCAAATATTTCACAATTCACACTGCAGTCCATCTTTTGGGACAAATTCTTGACACTTAGTACTCTAACTCTAAAACCAATTCTAGTTTCAAATACTTTATTTATGCAAATTAAAAACATTCATGCATTGGGTGGAACAAAGAAATCAAGCAAATTCAGGAGAAAAATGGATCTGTAGTCGAACCATTTTTGTCTCTGAAATAATAGAAGCAAGATTGTAGAGGAAAGATAGACAATAAATACAAATGCAATTTGGTTTTGCAAACCAAGTCATTTCCCGAGCTAAATCCAGAAAATTGAAAATATGAAAGGAAAATGGAAACATGGTTACAAGGAACAGAAAATTTGCACAATTGAAGACAACTCTAAACATTTTGGATATAGATAGAATACCTGGCCATCTGCAACTATCACCAAAACATGGTACTGGCCTCCACTCTGCTCAACGATTGTCATGGCCATTTCAACAATAGGTGCAAATGAGGTGGGTCCTAACATAAAAACATCAATCCAAATTAGCTCAATATTACAATATCTACAACAGGAATAAGTAGAATTTGCAAAAGAACAAGACAAGTAGTAGAAATATTACCTGCTAGTCGAATATTAGGAACAATTTCCCTATACCGGCCCAACACTTCTTCAAATCCATTGCAAAATCGTTCATCTGGATAGAAGCTGAAGACATCTTGATCATGTGTTGATGCTGTCATGATATCACAGTAATGCCCATTACCACATTTAAACAACAATCAAAACTTCTACAAAAAATAAAAAATAAATAAGTTTGAGCACTTTGAGAAAGATACCATCCCCAAATCCAAAACAAGGAATCAAGTTATCCTCATCAAATGCAGCCAAGGTTTTCCCAATAATTGATATTGCTTGTTCATAGGGATTTGGATCATTCCCAATGTGATGCAAACTTTTTCTGTTATATGAATGCTTTCCTGAAAGCAGCATCAAGTTCAGCATATATTTGACAGCAATACACAGAATAAATTGCAATTTTATCTTCAAAATAAATATGTATGAATAAGCCTTAACCTGTCCACTCATTGCTCTTAGTGAAATCAATACCAAGAATAAGATTTGAAGACTCAAGGCCTGCACGTGCAAGAGCCTCAGTCACCTGTAATGAAAAATAAGTGACAAATGTGAGAACGTATGAATTAAAATGATGACAAACCATCAACAAATTTCTTAAAATATAAAGATGAATAAGAAGGATCATCAGTGATAGGGAAATAAGCAAATTGCAAGGCGATATTAAGTTCAACTAAGTCATGCCTGATCACATGAAAATACACTTAAAAGTAGTCAAACGTATAGCTCTAAGTTCATCAGAAAAAATATAAAAAGTGCAGAAAGTTTCTCTTTCACTTCAGTGAATTCAATTTTTGCATAGTTAAACGGACAAAAGTGAAAACAAGATAAATAGTTGGCAGGCATCCATTCACAGGTAATTTTTTGAGCTAGCACATTGGTTTTTAAATCTCCTGTCTGGAGTATTGAAATCATAACGAGTCTATCTCAAGTAAAGATCATCATCACCCTAAATTTCAATATAACATTCAATTGCAATTGCAATTGCACTGTCAGTATGACTATTATTTGTCTTTTAAACTCCTATCACGGCAGTTGGTATAAGAAATGTTTTAACATTCTTGAGAAATTGACACATGGATAAAAGTTTCCCATGTCTGGTAGAAGAGAATAAAATACTTCATGGATATAAAAGATTCTTGGGTTGATTTATAAATAAGTGGAGATGAAATTTTCCTACTTTCACAACAGGTGGAATTAAAACTTTCCAGTGATAATTAATAGTAAAGTTACTAAATTTTTGTGATATTTAACAGTAAACAAGTATTTCCAAATAAAGTTGAATAATAGCCAAACATATTTTATAAATTTACCCCAACACTTATTCCTAACAATCTCATTCTCAGGAAATTCATTTGTTCAAAATGAAAGATTCCATAGACCAAAAGCCAAATTCCTCTTCTTCTTCGTCTTTTTTTTTTTTTTTAAAGAAAAATTTTGGATTCTTAAATGCCAAATTATTTTTCTTAGGAAAATAAAATCACATAAAACAGGGCCAAGTGAAAAATAGCACTTCAATTCCCAGACAGACAAAATTAACCATGGCTTAATCCCATGACAGGCTAAAGTTAAACACAGCAGTACATCACCTACAAGCAAAGCATCTCTTACCTCATCTATGGAATTGTAATTATCCGCGATTCTTGAGTACTTCCTGTCTAACCTCTTCTCATTTCTGTGGCCGGCCACTCTGCCACTGTCGTGAGGCTGAGGTTCATAGCCATAGTTTTGAGGCGGAGGAGGAGGAGCGGAATAATAGTGCTGCTGTGTAGGATAAGGCTGCTGCGGCTCATAGGCATAACCCCCCTGACCATAACCCGCGTGGGGGTCAGGATATGCACTCCAAGAAGATGAAGAGGGAGCCGAACGCCCAGATGAATTCTGCCTCCAATTATCCTCCTTAGAATTGCTACCACCCATCAACTCAATTCTCTAAAATTCCAAAACAATAACAATAAATACAACCAAAATCCCTAACTCCACTTATCTCCTTAACAACAAAAAAAAAAACTGCAACGAACAACAAGAACTATACAAAACCAACTCCAGATGCTATATAGCGTGTTTTCAAACCCTTTAAGAAGTAATAAATCACTTATAAGATGTGAAAGCTATATCTATTAGCTTCTTACTAAGCGTGAAAAACAAAGTAACAAAAAATCCCCAAATCCAAACCCCACTTTCTCCTCAACAAAAATGAGCAGAGCACAACCCAAAATGCAAAACCCAACAAACAGTAAGAACTCAAAAGCCAATTCCAGAGACTAAAAATGAAAATAAAGAACACTTCTCGAACGTTGAATCTTCAAATTTAACAAGCAAATTCTGAATTGACGAGACAAGGACCAATTCATAGAAACCCCACACCGACCTAAAGAAACACAGCCTAATTAAGTAACCCACAAATAGAAAAACCCTTCAGCCGCCATGTGTCTTCAAATTCGTTCAACACACGGCATCTCGGGTCGCGCACCGAACGCAATAACATGACAAAATCTCGTTCAACGGTAAAAGGAAAAAAAAAAAAAAGAAGAAAATTAAGAATTACCTAAAATATCAATTCAATTTCCACACGAACTCTTATCGTGCATATCAATTAACACGCTCAGTGGCCACAACGGATTGCGAAAATCTCAAACTAACCGGTGAACATCCGAACAAAAGCAAAAGACGCAAAACCTAAGGAGCAATTTTTTGAAAAGCGTGAAAATAACGAAACGACATTGCTTTGGTTGCTGGTGAAGAGTGAAGTTGGAGAGAGAAGTGTTTGAATATACTACCTGGATCCGAACGGCGGTGGAACATGGCGGTGTTCGGAATATTCTAGAATCGGCGTTGGAGTTTAATTAATAGCGCATGCAGAGAGGATCAAATAATGATCGATTATTGTGGACGCAAAAGTGGAGACACAGTTTCTGCATATCTTTTTCTTTTTTAATTTTTTTATTATTGTTTTCTAGCGTTGAAGATGAACATGCACATGGATATGCTCCGTCAACTAATCACTTCAAATGTAATAATCTATACATATATTCTTAGACATGAAAATCAAAGGGATACTTTCATTTTATAATCCCACGTTTTTACTTTTTTTTAAAAAAAAAGTTTTTTTTAGATAAAGTCTGCATGTATTCTGGCTGAAGTCAAGTAAATGACAAAACGGGCCAAACTGAATATTTAAAATTATCTAACTTTTAAAATATTTATTTTTATATAATCATGTTATATTATTAGATGAAATAAAATATTTTATAATAATTATTTTTTATCGTATTTATTGTGTATTTAATATTAATACTTTAAATTTACGTTGTTAGATAATATGTGTTGTTATCTTGATAATGATGTCAAATATTATTTAGAAAATTATTTGGAGTATTTATTTATACATATTATAAAGGGGTTATATTTTGATAATCACCTTTTTGGCTTCCACTTTTTAGTGCACGATTATATCCCTTGAATATAAAAGAAAAATTTATATTTTTTTTAAATAACTATCCATAATTTATAATATTTATTTGTGTGTAACTATTAGAGACACTTGCCTCGACCCTTCTAGTTAGGAATAATATAAGTTATCTTCATATAAGACATAATTCACAGCAACATGAATTTTATCAAAAATTAAAGAGGGAGATTTTTATCGAACACTAGTAATTATAAACTGAAATTTAAACTTTATAGAATTACGAATTTGAAAATCCAATTGAATAAAATATCAATTCAAGTTTTGATTATTATAGTATAAAAAAAATATAATCTGAATTCCACCATTTAATATTTAATTCAAATTAAAGAGCGAGAAATGCAATTGTGCTCTATGAAAACCCTATGAAGAGAAGAAGAGAAGAATTAATATTTAATCAAAAATCAAATCCATAATCATGAATTTAATTTGAAATTAACTGAAGAACAAAAAAGAAAAGAAGAGAAGAGAAGGATTTGGATTTGAGAGGATTTTACTGCATAATCAAAAACTTGAATCGATTAAGAGAACTTAGTTACGCATCTTCATCATTGTCTACACACAAATTTGTTCCAAAAAAAATATTAATCCATGAGTTCAATGTAATTACACCAACAAATAGACAACCAAATGGGCCTAAGTTTGAATAAACAAGGCTCGGTCCACTAATTAAGTCATAATATACTAGTTACAAGTCATTGAGGTTTAAACTACAAACAACAAAATAAAACTACACTAGGCCACAACTTTGCACTGCCTTTTTAGACCTTTTCCTATTTGAATTGGCTTTAGAGAGAAGTTGTAGCACTCTCCCTAAGATTTCCAACGGTATCAAGAACGTCCTAATATGAGTTCGGGAGCTTCAGATATGGCCTGCACAAGATAGAGTGTTCAAGTGGGTAAAAATCCAAAAGATGAGTAAAATTTACCACAATCATCAAATAATACTACTATCATAAATCTAAGCTAAAACGTGAATATAAGACACATACAAAAGTCAAAAGATCAAATAAATGCATACAAAGTTGCTTCCTAAAATGCACTATCATACCTGCATCTTGTAGATGCTTCGTCAAAGGGAATGTCATCCTTCGCTTTCTACCATCAACGATAGGACACTTGCAAAGATACTACAAAGTTTAAGTTAGATGAGAGTTTTGGTTAAGAAAGTTATTAGGATTACAATGATACTTGATGTCCCTTTAAATACACACTTAGGGGGGTGTATTGGTTTAAGATTTCGTAAGATTTTAAAAGATTTTTTTTGAGTAAAAAAGTCCACGAGTATTCAATCAGGATTTTATGTCACTTAAAAACAATCTAGTGGTATTCAATCTGAATTTTCAAGATTTTTTAAAGAGTCCATTAAAATCCATTGGTATTCATTTGATATTTTTTACAATATAAAAGCAATCCATTGGTATTCAAAAATATAAGGATTTTAAAGGATTATTGTGTGAGAAAGATTTTGAAGGACTTTCTAGTGCTATCTATAAATACCAAATTCATAAAACAATCTCATCCAAACCCATCGGATTTTGAAGGATTGTTTGAAGTGACTTTTCAAGTGCTTCAAGAATTTTCAAGTGAGTTTTTCATCCTTTTTATCTATGCTCATGTCTTCTCCATTTTTTCTTTACTAATAATACTGCATTATTGTTCATTGCTCATATATAATATTGTAGTATTGTTCCCATTCCATTCCCCTATTTTTTGAAACTCAGATATGTAAATAATAGTGTCATTGACTTGCTCTATTTTTCTGTTCGTACTCTTTAATTGACTTCTATTTTATTCTATTTAGTTGAATTTGTTCCTTTATATAACACATGTCAAGAAAAGGAAAAGGTAAAAGATGAAATTGATATCATGATCTCTACTATATATATATATATATATATATATATATAAGATGAATTTGAGTTAGGGTTTCTGTGAGTATAATGAGATGAAAATAGATCTTAGTTGGGGGAAGAACCCTTTCAACATAAAAATTGCGATCTCTCTCATTCCCTTGAGTTTGTTACTCTTATCCCTCCTCCTTTTATGACTCAACAATTATTTTATTTTTTTTACTATAAATTTTTTTTATTTTTATATTGTGAAATTAGGATTTAGGGTTTATGCCTTCATTAGCTTATTTAAAAAAAAATATTGTAAAAATATTTGTTAGAATAATTTACATTTATAAATATCGTTAAAAAATTATCATATATTATATAACTAATATATATATATATATATATATTCTCTATATC